ATAATAATAATAATAATAATAATAATAATAATGACCATAATAATAATAAACAAGAACAAACCTTTGGACTACCATATGGCAGATATACAGGTATATCACGAGAAGACCATGGTGGTAAGGAATGAACCAACAATGATAATAAAACTGTTTCCAAGCCAGTTAACTCCCACCTGAAAAGCACAATGAGCTGTCAGCAATGCTGTGTTGGAAAATCAATCAACAACTAGTGGTTGTCAGAGCCTGTAGGTTTTTCCCACAGGCTTGCATTGTGTTTGCTGTTCTATAGCATGGCAGTGTCGCTGACGGAGGATAGTGGTTCTAAGTGTTCCCTCCCTTCCATCCCCAACTGCAGGATTTCTTGTGCAGGGATTCGTACAATGTATCTATTTATTTATGTTTATTCATTCAGTTTTTTTTTTCTCTTTCAGCGCCTTAGGGTACAACTGTGGTTTACCATCGTTCAGTTGCCACGGCCACTTTTCCCATGATAAGCAAACATCCAAACTCACTGCTGACTGATGTAGCAAAAGCATCAAGAAACTCCTGTAAGTACAGAATATCAAAAATGTTAAAGTTACTACTGACAGTGTACATGTAATGCCTAGCAATAAAAGCTGCATAAATCAATGAGGGTTTACAAGCCAAAAAATGCATTTTTTAGAATAAGCCCAGGGTAGAGGTTCCCCAACCCTTGAACGTCTGGAGTTAGGGTTCACATTCGCTGGCAATAAAATGTACCTGTAGAAATGACACATCCGGACAAAGAACGATATCAACAGCTTGAGTTATGTTTCCTGTTAAATCTGTGCCTTCCAAAAGACTGTCAATCAGACTATAACAACACTAAAGAAATAAATCAATTAATTGACAATTTTATTTTCAAATATGACAACTACTTTACACACAGATACAATGACTATATGAAAGTTCATATTTTATACACACACACACACACACTGAAATCAGATGCAAATTCTTAGAAACTTGCTTACTCTCAATTCCCTCTTAAGCAGTTCTATGTTTCTGAAAGATGTTAACTCATCTATTCCTAATAATAAAACCTGAAATATAATAATAACAGGCAGCATTAAAGAATGAAATTTTCAGGCGGCTCTCCCTAAATATGTGTATTCATTTACATATATGTTAAATGGTTTGTTTCACAGTAATTACTTAAACTGGATCTATGTGTATGTACTTAATTTCCAGCAGTACAAAAATGATATTGTACCTGATCATAATGCAGTGTAACTCCCACCAACAAAAATTTAAAGCACAGACATGACTGTATCATGAAAAAGTGATATTAAATACAAGTTGATTATATCAACAGGCAGTCATTTATGGTAGAGAAAATTGTTCCCACTAATGAATTACAAACACAAACATTTCATAAACGGCCATTCTGACAAAGTAACCTTTACAGTATAAGGTTCTGGAGCCTCTCCTGTAGTTACATGTACATGTAGTGTAGTGTTTTGGAAGTTAGAGCTTTTTCCTCAACATCCTTATGAGTAATGAGTTAAATGTCAATGTTTCCTTAAGATTTAATATCCTCAACACCCTTCTTAGTAATTTGATGACCATCCCTTTCTAGATTCCATTACAAAAATGTACTGAAGCTTTTAGGTGAGCCATTGATTAAGTCTTCATAAAGATCATCCACACACCATCACATGAAGATATTAATGCAGCATAAGTGTTACACTACAGGTGAAGGGGAAACATAAATGTACAAATAGAAGGCCTCTCAGTTTTGTAATGTTTAGCATGTATCAAAGACATGCAGGTCTCTATTCATCAAAGAGTAAAGCAAACATTTTCATTCATTCAATCAGTCATACCTACCATGGAATTAAAGACAAAATCTAAGAGTCTGTTAAGATGTACACCACTAGCATTGTCATCAGAGGTAACAATTATCAAGGTGATCCTTAAACAACAACAACAAAAAAAGAAAAATCAGACAATGTTAGTTTTAATTTGCATTACTAGGGAATTCACCAGTTGACAACTGATCCCAAACCGGTGGGCTTATAAAAATTCAGTCCCTAATGTAGCACAGTAACCAGGTCCCAAAAATGAGAAACTTTTCTTAGACTCTTATAAAATGTTTTGTTCTCATTAACAGTAGTTTGAACCTCCCCATTTTAGCAAGTAACCCTGACAGGCAGCCATTGGAGACTTCACATGTTTTCAAGATGTGACCTTTCTATTTTTAATCTCCTGTGGGTGGCAGCTTCACACTTGCCTGCCTTTTCCAAGGCACCATATGAACTTTGCTTGTTAATTGGCTTGTATATAAAACTACAATTTTTAAATCTGGCAACACTATACATGGCCTGCTCTTAAGTGAAAAAAATACTCTGGATAATGTGAAGGAATCTTTTTGAAGATAGAAAAATCATTACTGACAATTAATAGCCTATTCAACTTGCAAATGTTAATTAATAGATGTTCATGATCAGGACCACATATGCCCTGAAACCCCATTTCAGCTCGTCACTTATTTTATTGGGCCTGTTGACATTAGCAGACATAAGCATCAATCATACAGTTTACACCTAGAGAATTTGGTGCAAGAGATGATTAATTTTTTTTCATTACTTATAATGAAGTTTAAAGTGAAGTTTAGTTTAAAGTTTATTGAAGCTTAATAATAAGAAAGCTTAATAGGAAATGACAAATTACAAATTAATCTAATTATTATTGATCTAATTTACACTTTCATGTTCATGAAGACCATTCACGCCTGCAAATAGCAGGAGCTAGTTGAGGCAGGCGAGAATTAGAGGTACAGCAGTGGTGATAGAGTACAAATAAAGCTTGAACATAAATTAATAACATTTCCAGAAAAAGACAGCCACTTAAAACTCTTATATACAAATGCATCATTAAACATAAGAAAATAGTAACACTACAATGTAGAATATAAATTATAAAGCCAGTTTATGATTAGTAATTTTTTTAAATAGAAGGGGCGATTCAACATAGTATTCCTCAGCCTCTAGGAATGATAATAACATGTCCTTAAAGAGTTTTTTGAAAGCTTTCTTCGGGAGTTGACGAAGAGCATCGCAAATGGAGTTCCAAAGTTTAGCTCTGAAGCCAGCAAAAGAGCCCTGGCTTTGATTCAGTCTCGATGGATTAATATAAAAATTGCTGAAAGAAGAGAACCTCGTATCGTGATTATACTTTTCAGTAGCTTTAATGAAAACATTACTAATGTTAGTAGGTACAGTTAGACATGAGACGTCAAACATAATTGAGGAAACTGATTCAACGTATAACACATTTATGGGGAGGATTTTTCAGGAGATAAATAAAGACACCGCATGTGCTCTGGGTTCAGAAAAATATATCAGCCGAAGAACACGTTTTTGTAGGACGAAGATTTTATGTAAATGGGATTTAGCAGCTTGGCCCCAAACAGCCATGCCATAGGATAGATAAGGGAGAATCAAAGAGCCAGAAATAGTTAATAGAGTAGTTAAAGGTATGAGATGCCAAAGGCAGGCAATAATTCCAATTATTCTACTTATTTTTAGTGCCACATTGTCAAACTGAATGTGAAATTTCCAACTCAAATGACAATCCAATAAGACACCTAAATATTTTATATGATCCTTACATTCAAGAGAGGTAAAAGAATGATTACTATTATGAAACATTTGATTATTGACTGTAAGGTCCAGTTTACGTTGATAAGGACGAAAAATGACAAAGTTAGATTTTTTAGCATTTAAAGTTAGTTTATTTGCATTGAGCCGATCAGAAACTTTGACCAATTCGCTATTGACCGTTGCTTCAAGGGTCTTGAGATTTTTATCGGCATACAACAAATTTGTGTCATCTGTATATAAAACGAAAATTTCGAAGAAGAGTGATGAAAATCATTAATATAAATTAAGAATAACAAAGGGCCAAGAACAGAGCCTTGAGGGGCACCGCACGAGATCTTATTAATGTTGGATAGATTAGAATCTAATTCAGTCATTTGTGTACGACCAAGAAGGTACGAGGAGAACCAGTTATTAATGATGCCCCTGATACCATAATGATAAAGTTTTTTTAAGTAAGATTGAATGGTTAATGGTGTCAAAGGCTTTTTTTAGATCTAAGAAGATGCCACAAGTAAATAATTTTAAGTCCATATTATTTTTTATGATGTTAACAATGTCAATAACAGCGTGTTGAGTCGAGTGCTTTTCATGAAAGCCATACTGGGATTTAAATAAGACATCGTTTTTGTCAAGAAAGGTTTTAAGTTGATGGTACATCAATTTTTCAAATATTCTATTAAAAATAGATAATAGCGAAATAGGCCAATAATTCCTGGGTTCAATACATCGTCACTTTTGTAGACAGGAATAACTTTCGCTTGCTTTAATTTGTAATTAATTTATAATTAAGGTTACCTTTGAAAAGGAAATTCCAAGTACTCCACAGAGGAGTCAAACCTTCACAATATGCATGACTCTCCTAAGACCTGAGGCCTCTCCAAAGATTACGAGGGTTTGTAGCTTTTGAAAGTTCTCTTAACACTTTATTATCCAACTACACTCCATAGAGTACAAATAACACCCAAAACAAGCACAAATGTCATGCAGTATTTGTACTCCAGAGAACTGGTTAGACAGGTTTTCTCACATCACTTAAGCAACTTATTGGATTATAGTTACAAAAAAAATTGCAAACCATTTAAATTATTTTTCTAATGATGAAGAGTTGGAATGGCTGGTTAATTGGATTATGAAATCAAACAAAGAAAGAAAAGCAGTTAGACGACAATGAAATCTCATCATTTATTGAAGAAAATAGAAACAGCAGCTTAACAACGCACCAATTCCATTCTGCTTCACATACTTCTGTCACACACTCGATGTAAATAAATATCCCAAAATTTGCCCACACTGAAATAACAATTTAGAGTGTTGGATGATAAATAACTAAAATGTTTTGGTGTGTCATATCACTGAGTATTTTAACTTGTTATTTGTATTTTGACACACCCTACAGGCTCCTCAAAATACTCTACAACTTGTAAAAAGTTACAATCAGCAATACTACACAACAAAATGTCTGATAAGATATATGTATCTGGATGGAAAAATGAATGATAATGCACCTTTCATTAAAAACCTTCCAGAGAACTTTGGCATCATCTGTGACTGTGTTTAGCAGAGAGACATCTTGATTGTTGGCAAACATGCATACACCATTAAGTGATCCAATCACAGGAAAAGGCAACTGTATGGAAACAAAAATCTAAAAAAATTGTTGAACATGCCAGGTGAACGTCTTACAATGTGCTTCAGGAGCTTGATTCAGAGCCAACATGTATTATTATATGGCATTTACATGCACATGCATGATTTGTAATTAAAATCAAGAAGTGCTTCACGTTTCTTGATCCACTTCTTGCGCCTCCAAGGTACTGTGACAAGCAGTTCACCTTTAAGTCTGTCATAATGACACTTCGACTTTAACAAGGTAAACTTTCCTCTAAAATACATGAATAAGGCCTTCCGGTATTCCTATTCTCCCCCACCTTTAATTTGTAAACATCCCGATCGAATTTGATAAATTCCAGAAAGTTAAAAAGGTTAATTCGAAGGCTGCGAGGTAGTTTGAAAATAATTAAAAAACATTCCACCCTCTTCTTATCCAATGTCAATGTTACAAAAAATACTTATGTAATACTCTTTGTATACTTTAAATCATCCAACCTGTGGGAGGTTTCCTTTTGTTCTAGTGAATAGTGGAATACCACCATCAGTCGTCAAGCAAACCAAATATGCCGCCATATTGAACTCCCTCCATGCGCATGCGTCTAAGCTTCGGATGAATGCAGACAGCTGATGGAAAATGGCGGAAAACACACGATTATGACCTGCCGAACCATATGACCACACGACTTGTGCATAAATTGTTGCAAGGAGGATGCGTGACTGCTAGCGCTTGTTGTGTGCTTAACTTCATATGGGAACATGTCGTCGAATTAATAGTGGTGCGTATTGAAAATACCTTTCCCGCGTAAGGAAATTTGAGTCGATGATCGTGGATAATTTTGGCTGCCTTGAAGGTCCAAAGTTGATGAGCATCAGTGAGCACAGATTCTACTGATCAATTTCTGAACGCCTTACCTTTCACACTGTTTTTCGTGCTTATAGGAACAGAGAATTGTTTGATTATGAAATTCGCGTAGGAAAAATTAGAAAATCGAAATTGATTTGTTACAAAAAGATCGTTAGTGAATATACGTAACCAGCCATCAATTGAACACAATTATTTACGTTTATGTCTCTCGTTATCTGTTGTAGAGGTTCTTTGTTAGACATTAAAAAAAGAAAAATTCCTAAAAGATGAATCTCTCATTTAAAATAAGCATCGGTGTGTTTACGTGTATGCTTTACTAGTATTTTGTAGTTAAGAACGCATTACTTTAGCTCAAGGACGAATGGATCTTGAAAGCATTAAAAGCCATTTTTTACATGGACCAGCAAATTAAATCATCAGTATATCTTTGTTAATCGGTATATTTGAGTTCACTTACAACTTCCATGATGGAACTTCCCTGTTATGTGCGTTATGTGTATTTCAGTGAAGCAGTTTTGTTTTGTTGCAGTTATGAAATGCCATTAACACATAATGATTGCTTTGGCAGTCACCTCCTTTTATCTCATATTTCATCCAAAGAAACAAAGGAAAAAGGAAATGTCAAACCAGGAATGTGATCTCTGCCCTGCTAATCATTATTCTTTTTGTCATATGATGCTAACAAACCTTGTTAATTATTGTGATGAAATTGGATTTTGATTATGCCTTAGGCAATAGTCTGTATTATTTGGAAAGGCAGGAATCATGGAACAAGGAATTTGGCTTTTGAGCTTTTCTTGCTTTCCTTTTTCTTTTTTTCATTATTTTCAATTACATGTGTCAAGCACTATGGCAGCTTTCAAAATGAGAAAAATAAATACAAAAATTTTTTTAATTTGGCAGTTTACATGGGTTTTGTATTTTTTTTCTGTTTTTTGTTTTTGTGTGGATTATTGAAGCTTTCAGGTCCATCCATGATTCCTACCTTCAATCTCAGAGAAGATGGAGATCTTGTGGTCACAGAGCATCTTAGTTCATATTTCAGAACAATTAAGAAGTAAGTGGTGGCCAGTTGTATTGAAATAATGTGCAAAGGAGCAGAGGTTCCTGCTAAAAATTTGGAATTTGAAATCTTTTTTATTATTTTTAATCCACCCTGTCACTTCAGAAAATGTAGAATATATTAGAAATTACTCAACCAAGGATTCAAAGCACAAGCAGTCCTATTTTGCTATCTGATACCCTACTTTTGCACTTTTGTGTACTACATCTGTAGATCACATGCCAAGTTCATATGTGACAAGGTTATGTTTTTAATATTGCAAGGATCTAAAATGTTGTACATATAAAGGAATTCCAGTGTAGAGATCCATGTCAAGTAAGAAAGAAGGCTTGGTTATCAAAGGAAAAAATAACAATGTATTTTCCATATTTTGACATCCAACACAAAATTTACCATCTTTCGTACTCTATCTGCATAGTGATTTCATTTTAAACATTTCAGCCAAAGGCAATAAATAAACTACCTTATAACTTAATTAGTTTACAGTTTTTTGTGTGTATAACTGTTTGCAGCTACAGGGCTAATGATAGTAATTTGGAGAATATTTCACTGACAATTTGTCTGTTGCTGCCTCCAGAGGAGATGTTGTCATTGTAAAGTCTCCTGAGGAACCAAATAACCTTATTTGCAAGAGGATTGCTGCAATGGTAGGTATATTGTGCAATAGGTACTACATCATGAATTCTCTAAAAACACTTATGAAATTTAAATGGAGTAATCTAATTAAGTCCACTGCTGCAAACAACCTGGCCTGAGCTTAAAATCTACACAGAGTGTAGTTCTAAATAATGACAGAAGATTTGATGTGATCTTTGTGTTTTTTTTTTTTATTTTCCATCTTTGTAGGGTGGGGAGCTCATAAGAACTGACACTGATGGCAAAGACAGCTTCAAAGTAAGTTTACCACTACAGACTGAGGAGATGTAACCATTACATTTATATCTGTAATAGAGAACAAGCTCTAAAACATCAAAAATATGGTTAATCCCACAACCACTTGCATCTTATTTAATAGTGTTTTACGGTTACTAGCAAGCCAGTGACCATATTGTGTTCATGTAGTAAATAAGAAAGTGACTTTTAAGGAATTTTTTTGTGAAGCAATCAGCAGCTCTAAGTGGAAACAGAAATTTTATGAGCTTTACTTTATTACATTGTTTTTCTATTGGCTTAAGATTCCCAAAGGACATTTGTGGCTTCTTGGTGATAACTTTGAATACTCCAAGGACTCTAGAGACTTTGGTCCAGTTCCCTACGGACTCATTCGAGGAAGGGTTTGCTTCAAGGTTAGGCCAGAGTTACTAGTGATACAGAGATGCTACATCATTACATTTAAAGCAAAAGATGAATACTTCACGAGAGGTCATTTCCAAAAGTAACAATGATTGTTGTATGACTAAGCCCTTTCAATTATTTGGCAGCATTATTTTATTGAAAACTAAAGCTTCCTAAATTGTTGTGTGGAACCATATCAGCAAGTCTTACCTTTGTTAGCAACATACCAGAACAGTGGATTGCCACAACTCCTTTTGCACAAGAATGATGATTACATTTTATGATTGTTATTGATGGCTCTTAGGCAAAACAGGTGTAAGTTGCTTTTCTGACAGAAACCTGTTTTGAGTACAGCTATACTTTTAAGGAAAAAGGGTGAAAACTGAAACCTGAGTCTTTTTAATCATAGCCCCTTATGTATTTCATAATTTTTCAGGTATGGCCTGTTAATGAGTTTGGAAAAGTCAGGAATCCATTTGGTGACAGATGATACCATAAGTTGAAGATGAGCTGGGTGAAAACAAAACAACTGATGTGAATGGAGGCAGTGTACTTAGATTACATAAGACTTGATCAGGGTGGCCAAATCAAATATTCATAAAATTAAGGATTTCACCAAGTTTAGCGGAGTCAACTATGCAGAATGTATAGCTCTTTCTGCTTGACCATCAAGATTGTAACAGTAATGAGTGTATTCACCTACCTTACATAAGTAGTATAGTGAAGGAATCAAAACAGTTTCATGATTATTGTGTATAACTTGCTTTCTTATAGAACTATAAAAACAAAGTGAAAGTACTTTGCATTCCCTTTCTTATTCTTTTAATACATGTTTCGACTGAAACTTCTTTCATCTTCAGTTAATTATTGTACAGGAAGTTGAATTAATAGTAAGTAGAAAATGCTAATTATGATAAAGAGTGATAACAAGAAAGGAGGTAAAGCATGAAAGCGTGAGAATTAAATGGATAGTTTTAGATTCACTTGGTGTAATTGTTGATTCAGGGATGGTTGTTCTATTTGAATATGAATAGCCTCTTTTATCTTAAGTTGAAAGCCGGTAGAGGCGTGATCAAAAATATGGAAGTTACCTGCTGAACATAAAGCACGCTAATATGGAGAATCTGCAGATGCCTGAAAATGTGAGAGGCCCCGGCTGTCACTGACTAATAGCTCTCTGACGCCTGCGGAAAAATGCCCGCAGGTTTCACCGACGTAACAGGCATTACAGCCAGCACATACAAACTTATAAACCACACGTGAACGGAACCTGTCAGGGACAGGGTCTTTCACACCAAACAAGCTAACGATTTTGAAGGAAGAGAAAACCAGTGTAATATCCTTGTCATTGCAGTAGCGCTTAGTAAAGATAATGGCGGATCTTTTTTTTTTTGAGTGATGGCAGAAAAGTGACCTATGTACTAGGTAGGTGAAGTGGTGGGAAGGGAACCCCGGGGATGATGATTGCTTTGGGTCCCAGTGATGTAACGGTTAAATGGGCAGGGGAAAGATTCTTTTTTTTTTAGAATATCAGTAAGTTTGTTAATGTCCACGTGAAACCCTAACCAGGTGTTATTAATCTTGTAAGCCCTATCAACGAGTGTCTTAATGAGACCCACTTTGTAAGAGTACGAGGTGAAGCTGAAATAATTAGTAACCCGGTGAAAGTTTTCTTGCGGTTAACCCTAGTTAGAGAGGAATTGGGGTCATGGTTGTCAATCAGGACATCTAAAAAGGGTAATTTATGATTAACCTGCTTTCCATAGTGAATTTGATGTTAGGGTGCCTTAAGTTGATATGGTCGGAAAATATATTAACAAGCAAAGTATGATCAACATACCGCCTATAAAATAATATTGTAGAGCCATGAAAAATTTCCAACCAAAGTTTTTCATGATGTTCCATAAAAAGATTAGCCAAGACGGGAGCAAGGGGAGACCCCATGACTAAATATGAAATGAATCTGGCCGGTAGCTGTGGTGAAGAGGCTCAGTCTAAGTTCAGATAGGTTTAACTTAATGTCGTGATTACTCACGGAAATGTAATTGACTGCTAAGTCAATACACTCCTTAGTAAAGAGACTTTCAACATCAAAAGAAACCATAAACTTACGAGACATAGATAAAGCTTGGGTGTCCTGTACATAAGTAAAAGTGTCAGTGGCACAGTAATCAGTTGGAATGTGAGGCTTAAAAAGACTACATGGGTATTTGGCCAGGTTGTAATTGTATGTTCCAATAGATGATAGACAAGTGGGGCGAAATGGCGACGTAGATATTTCGGTTCACGATCCTTATGCATTCATTGGGAAGGCCGTAAATTTTTGCTGGCTGGGAGCCCTTGGGGTAGATGTTTTCATACACACCGTTGTCAAGATGATCATTTTTCTTCAATTTTAGGAGGAGTCGTTGCAATCGACCTTCTCTCAGTAAGGTGGGATCGTCCTTAATGGGCCAAAATTTGGTAGTGTCACTGATGATTTTGAGGCTACCCCTGGTCGTAATACTTTTGTACGGGACATCCAAGCTTTCTCTATCTATGTCCGTTCACGAGTGGTTTATAAGTTCGTATGTGCTGGCTGTAATGCCTGCTACGTCGGTGAAACCTGCCGGCATTTTTCCGCAAGTGTCAAAGAGCTCTTAGTCAGTGACAGCCGGAGCCTCTCACATTTTCAGGCATCTGCAGGATTCTCCACATTGTTRCGCTTTGTGTTCAGCAGATAACTTCCATATTTTAGAGCACGTCTCTACCGGCTTTCAACTTAAGATAAAAGAGGCTATTCATATTCAAATGAAACAACCATCCCTGAATCAACAATTACACCATGTAAATCTAAAATTATACTTTTAATTCTCACACTTTCATTTTTTACCTCCTTTCTTGTTATCACTATTTATCATAATTAGCATTGTTCTACTCACTATTTCATTCAACTTCCAACGCTTTGTACAGTAATTAACTAAAGATGACAGAAGTTTCTGTCGAAACATGTATTACAGACTCAAAAGTTTTGTCACTTTCCTATTATTTCAGTCTAATAAACCAGAAGGGATGATTAATCTCCCTCCCCCACCAAAAAAACTTTCCTACAGCAAACAATGAAAAGTCAATACATCTTCAGAAATATTGGAGAAAAAACACTACTGTGGATATTTGTCAGAATCTTAGTAAAAAAAAAACATACACGAATCAGCTTCATATCAGGCCTCATTTGTTCTTGCAACCCTAAGTAACACAACTGCAGTGTTCACAGTATTGCCATTTTCCAACTATTCAACAACTTTCACTCCTCAAAAAGCACCAGAATGCCGATCATAACCTTGCCGGGGTCTCAGCTTGAGCTCCCCTTCATAAGTGACTGTGTAGTGGTGGAAAGACCATGGAACTATCCCTAGTGCAAACATGTTGTCTATTGCTTACTTTACCCCAAACTAGTGAGGGAAGTCAAAAGTGTAATAATTTAAGAAAACTTAATAAATTATCGCTTACTTAGTCCAAACTCTTTATATGCGCAACGTAATAAAGTGAACTTGGTCATGATCTAAAGAGTCCTTACTAAACGTGATAAAACAAATTGTCAAACTAATCTGTACACATTAGTCATGTGTCAAGTGGGAATAGCTTTAAGGAGTTGTCTTGTTGAAATTTTGTTCGAAGCGTAATCCTTTCAATAGCCAAAGATATTTGGTGTCAGTTTCTAGAAAGAGCGACGCTGGATTCTCTTAAATGTTGGGCGTTGACTTAGATGGTGCATCCTTTAGACTCGCTATTTATCAGTACTGAAGAGCCGAACTAGCAAGTAGGATGGGAGATGAGCTCTACCAGCAGCGTGTCGGTTCAATTAGTTTTTCCATTGTTGGGGTAGTAACACGTAGCTTAAGCTTTTAGAAAATGCCTGAAATTTCTCCTGTGGTGGGACAGGAATGATATAGCGACGAGCATCTTGGGACGACATAACTTCGAACGAAATCTCTTTCGGGGAACTTGACATCGACCAGTTACCTGTTTGGCCGAGGCTCTCGTTATCAAATTTTTAGACAAATTTAACTCGAAGGTTTGTGGTTTGCTGGCTCTGATTTCTTTTACTTCTTTTATCTTGAGATTCCAAGTCTAGCACTTTCAGTTCCCTTCTCTGTGTGGGAGGGTTTTAGTTAAACTTCGAACCGTCAACCTTCTGGTAGAAACTCATGATCAAACTTTAGTCAAATTTGAGCTGGAGGTGACGCAGAGGGTCTATTCCCACATCGACCGTGTCCAGACTCGAATTAGGGAAACTGGGAAATAATTTCTAATAGAACCAATCAAGTCGCAAGTCTCAAGTGAGTGTCAGTTTCAAACAAGATGGCTGCAGTGTTGTTGTAAAATCAATGAGCCCCCGTAAAGAATGGATGGCGATAATACAACACAGGGTTATGTAGATGATGGAGGTTTGAGAAAATTTCTGTTCCATCTTGTTGTTCATGTGATTTTCTACTTGAAGGAAACCGAGAGTACAGCTGAACACTCTTGCTTGGCGACTACATTAACTTGTCACCTTCAGAACTGTTCCCCATTTTTTAAAACGTATCAAGGAATGAATAATTAGAATATTTTTCAGGGAAAAGCAAAGAATTTAACAACTGCGGCAGATCTTACGGTTTTCACATGTTGTATCGTGATCACGATCTGGTGATATTCCTTTGCTGCAGTAGCTTGCCAACAACTACTGTTTTTATTGTCCTATCTTATAAACACGTTAAGGCGAAATTTAGTGGTAGCATCTTACCGTTAGCTTTGCTAGCTCTTTCCACGGTTCTGTGCTTCTACCGTGGACATTTTTAAACGGAGAATTGAAGCGAAAGTGCGAAGGTAACCGGTTGTTTTACTAAAGTGTCAGTTCACCAACGACCACTTCTCCAACGCATGAAGTCGGTTCGCCAATGTCCTAGATCAGTTCGCCAACGCTTATAAATTATTTCAGTTCATCAACGTCCAAAATAATATTTGAAAAAATTCTGAAATGTATCTGTAGATGACCAGGGAAATAAATATTTTACCTTTGATGTATTCACTGGTGTTTGTAGGTAAGTATCGTTTGAAATTGTTCGTTTTACTCTCCCTAATCTCTCTCTCCCACACCTAGCCACAAAGTCACGCTCAAACAAAGTCTGTTGATTGATTGGTCACAACCAAAATCAATTCTATCAATTTTTTTAGTAATCTATTTTCAACCAAAAGCTTCATTCGGGACGTTGGCGAACTGATATAGAAGCATTGGCAAACTGACCTAAGACGTTGGTGAATTGACCACATACATTGGGAAACTCGTAAAAGCTCTCTTTTTTAATTTCAAACTGTGTACAGTATGTTACTTTTGTTTCTTAACTGTCTATCATCTCCTTTCTGATCTATTCCATTCATTTCTTAATTTAATCTCTACTGACTGATTATCACAAATGTTTTTAGCTTTTATAGCTATAGCAAATGAGCTGTTGGGAAAATGCAACCTTCCTGGTACAATAACTAAACTTGAGGAATGCAGTGACAACTTCTTTGTTGCAGTTTACAGAGGTCTGCTGGGTGATGATTTGGCTGGTAAGGTTAACCTATGGCATCATTGTTGTACCTAGATTGCTTGGATCATCCACAAGCAGATGCAGTGTTATTTGTTTTCGCATTTAGAAGTACTAACATTTGCACAAATATTGTCACTTTTACATTGCTATTAATTTTGGCATCCTCCTTCTTTGCACAGGTATTATAGAGAATCCCATTTCAAATGAACAACATGTTTCAAACTGCCAAACTGTGATAGATTCAGTTGCTTCTGATATTCTTAGTGTGGATCTAACACACATCGCTGGGAGCAGCATTGTGGAGGGTGACAAAATTTCAATTCGGAACTTGTTAGAGATTTTTGCTGGATTGCTTGAGTTCTTCATGGAGTACAATGATGATGAAGGTTGGCAGCCCACTCCAAGTTTAATTTGGTCTCCGTCAGTGTTTTAATTTACTGTGATTCATAAGATATTTTAATGGTTTGTGGTTGGGTATCCTCTTAATCATTGGTAAACTGTTGAAATGGGTTCCAATAAGATGGTATTAGATATACATGCATGTAAAAAGTCTACAAAAGAGAATGACTTATCCTAGTTTCTGCATCAAGAAGTGGCTAGTGGTATTGCTACTTTCCTAGAATGGGTTTCATAAATATTGAAAGTTATCCCTCTTGATATTGTCAGGTATTCCTAATAGTTTCATTTATGTACAGCACTCCAAACTGTAACTGTTATGGTCCCCATGGCAGCTAGAACAAAATTTTGGTAATTGAATCTACAGTACAAGTTGCCAATTTGGGGACCTGGGTCTGATAGACATGTAGAGGGGATGAAGCATATTTACAATTTAGCTTTTGTGGTCCCATTTCATATAACTCATGCTTCATCATTTTCTTGAATGTATAAAAATCTTAAAAAAAGCAATGCCTGCTTACATTGTATTTGAGTCCTAACAGTAACCAGCACCTAATATCTCCTTACAGTGATACTGCTGAATCTTTCATTACAATCATGAGAATAAAGGAAGTGATCGCTTACCTTAGAAACTTTGAATGTTACATGAGTAAGCACCTGTGTAGAGAAGAGTATGGAGACTATGGATTGTGATGTTAGGGTGTTGAAAGGGTTTAAAAAATGACAAGGGTTATGGTCAGTTGTATAAGGAAGTTTTTCCTTTTTTCGTCTGAGGACCAAAATTTTATTTGGGGCAACTATTTAATGATTTTAGGTCACCAAAATTAATGGAAACTCTGAAAAAGGTGGAGCTCTGAGCCTAATGCCCCATTATTTTTCTCATTTTAAATTCAGGCTATCGACAGTAATTATTATGTCCATGCACTACCAGTTAAGAGTTGTCTGATCATCAAGCTAAAAGTCAAAATTAAGAGAAAGACAGTTTGGGAATTTTCTTTAGCATGGTTCCTTTCTTTGATGTTGTAGTGCAGGCAGTAACTATTTAAATTGTGATGAACTCTTTGTAGGTTCTGAAGATGAAAATGACTCCAATTTGCTGACTTCAAAACATGATGTCATCTCTGGAGTACTAAGAGAAGAGTTGGGCCCCTCATATGAAGCTGTTTATGGTTCTAGGTTTGTGAGCTGCATTTGCTATACACTGTAGAGCTAAATTTCTCATACCCTCACTTACTAGAAACTCTCAATGATTTAAACCAAAACAAGCTTCCATTCCTCATTCCACACCAAGATCAAACTGAAACAAAAATGATAATTCTGATGAATGTTTTTTCCCAGGTAGTACATCTTGTAATATTTTTATGATTATAGTTTATGGTGGTAGATCATGCTTCTAAAAGCATGTTTTTTTTTTTTTTTTTTTTTTTTTTCACAAAGGACATCCACAAAAGTCAACTGTATCCTTAACTAACCTTGAATAGACCTGAATTTAATCAATTATAGTTATTACTTTAATCTGTGACTGACAGGTTACATTTAAGTAATGTTGAGTTAATATTATTATCATGGATAAATCCTTGATAAATTTTATTAAATTGTTACCTTTTTCTGCAGACAAAGCGACAGGAGAGAGGAGGCAAAGAGAAAACGGCCATTGTTGCAGCAGTCAAGTGGAGGAGTAATGCTGGACAGAAATGGAGTGCCAAAGAAACAAGAATCATTAACCAGAGTCTCTGTCGTTTGGGATCATGAAAATTCCACTGGTTTTGATGCAGACACATCAAAGGTAGGAAAGCCATCAAATAAAATGTAAAAAAGTCTTTTTTTTTAGACCAAACCATGGAATACATAGTACTGTACATGTAATGGATGGAATTCAGGAAGACTATAAAGTGGACCTTGAAGGTTAATACAAAAGTACTAGACTAGTATCTTAGCTTTCCCTTGAGAACCCATTTGTTTTTATCCAATTAATGTATGAATTTTTTTTCAAACCCTTGGCTCCAAAATGAAGCATAGGTTTTTGATAATTTCCATTCTCCATCTGCTTCTGTCAGAAGCTGCTGTTTCCAGTTGGTGCCACACATGGTTCCACCTAAAGTTTCATTTCTGACTCCATGTCTCTTCTTCACATGCATGTATTCTTTGGGTGACCTCCTTTCCTCCTTCCTTGTGGATTCCATTTTAGTGCTTGCCTTGTGACGTTGTTTACAAGCTTCCTTACAGTGTTTTACCCAAACTGACGATTAAATTTTTTAAACTTTGAAATACCCAGCTCAGTGACTCAAAAATGGAAGGTGTTAGTGACTCAACTGCTGAACTGATCAGACTTGGAGAAACCACATCAGACAGATTGCCACCACTAGGGATAGAAAAAAAGGCAGAAACCAGAAATCAGCTTCCAGATTCAACATCAGACATGTCTGCTAGATCACCAATGATCAGTGTCAGCTCTCAGCATGGTAGCAGACCTTATAGAAATGATGCCTTTGGTGGCACTTTAAATGGAACAAGACCTTTGCAGGATAATACAAAACCAGTTATGAATAATGCTAGTCCCTCGACAAGTTCCAAAAGACCAGATTTATCTGGAATTAGGTGAGCCTGTGAGCTACTGTAAGAACATTTTACTCTATTTTGTTGTTATTGTTTTTAGCCTGCTTAGCATGCCTTTCCATTTCTTTTCATCCAATACAATACAATTTACAAACTTTATTGACACTCCCTAAAGAGGGTTTTTCGGTGACAATGATCTAAAAATTACAAAATTATAATACTAAAATGTATAATGGGAAAATTAAGGAAGCTAAAATGTTAATAAATGTTCACCAAAATTACAACTAAGAGTGATGAGAAAGGAAAGCAGCAAGTAATTTGGCTCTAAGTTTACACTTAAAATCACAAGAAGAATTACAGAGTTTGAGGGTATTATCTAAACTGTCCCATAGACTTACTGAATGATAAAAGAAAACCCTTTGTCCAGATTTAGTTCTATATTAGGGTATATGCAGAAGTTGGGAGCTTCTGGTTGTGCGACCACTTATCTCACCACGTGTTAGAAACTTCGAGGAGAGATAAGTAGGAGCAGAGCCGGTCATACATTTAAAAGCAAGTGGGAGAGCTGTGAGCTGGGCAAGAGAGTGGAGTGAAAGGGATTGGAAGATGTAAACAGAAGATTTGTGACTTTATAATTTGACTATGCTTGACTGTGTGATATGAGAGAATTTTCCTACTCACCCAGTGAATGACTGACGTAATGTTTATTGCCAAATGAACAAAATTTGCATTTAATCTTATTTCATAGGAAGTCTGACCGATCCAGCATACTTGTTTGTGATGCCACTTCTATGGAAGATGAACTGACACAGTACACTTTGACACCCACAGAAGTGGGACATTCTCCAGCTGTTAGGGATAAAGTATGAATGTGAACACTTTGTGTCATTTTAACAGAAGGTGCAGGATCGTGCAGGATAGTTCTGACCAGATGCTTTTTAAGAGATAACTATTGTTGACATTATGAAAAATTAGAAAAGTTTTTCTAAAACAGAAAGTCTATTTTTTTTTCCTTGTAATATTTAAGTGTCCACTTTTTTTAAGTGTGGTTTAAGATTTTTTAGCAGAAGGAGGTTAATGTGTAGAGCATCCTAGGTTTTCCTCTTTCCTTGTTTACCTTAAGGACCCTGACAAGCCTTCAACCAGTTTTCTGTCCTCCTCCTCAACATCTACATCATGGCCTGAGCAAATATCACCTCTAGAACCATTAAAAGACTCTGGTGCCAGAGAGACAAGTAGCTTTGATGCTCTTGGTGTGAGACCAAGACAAAACCCCCCAGCAACTGCAGTTTCAGAAGCTGCTGGAGACAACAGTGGACGGTCAACTCCTGTTTATCATCATTACCACCACCACTTTCATCACACAGAGCCACAAGGGACTGTACCAGGTATTAGACAGATGGTTCTGTTTTAATTTTTAATTATAATTTTGCATCAGGACTGTTACAAATTTCAAACCTCTCACAAGATTACTGACACCCTTAATGCCTCAGGTGGTTTAGAGCCAGTTAGAGTCATTTTTATTGTTCCCTTTTGGTAAGAGTGCACTGTCAACGGGTGATGGAAAGTTCTCAAAGATCACAATTATTGAAAATTCCATCCATAAGGAGTAGTCAGGTTTGCACTTCCCTGAAAAGTCATCCACTGATAGACCTGGTAGATATAGAAGTATCAGTTTGGGGCGTGATTGGGGTAACTCTCACAAAGTCCCTGGGTTGGACTTAAATTCCTGTTCAAAAGGCTTTATTAAGTAATATTCGGACACACATACCTGCTAGTGCCTGTACAAGTTGTTTTCCTTTTGGTCGCACAATATGTGTACAGCAGCTTCTTCTTTGCCAGTCCCACAGTTCTTCCTACATGTGTGTTCTTGTTGCTGTTTTCCTATCATCATAAACTGATTTATTTTGTGTAGAATTTCAGTCTGTAGCTGGAGTTAGAGCAGCAGCCTCAGTTGATGCACCAGATAGAACAACGGTTTTATCAAGGACCCAGCCTACTGGAACTGTGACCAGAACCAGACCTCATTCTGGAACAACTGATACACTTACAAGAATAGCTCCTGTGACTTTTACTCACCCTCCTCACTCAGGTGATTTTCACCCTTTTTTTGTCTTTGAATTGTTATTCTACCTGGCAAGTCTTTTAGTATAATACTCTCACTGTTAACTACCAATTGAAAGCTGGTCAAAATTTTGAAAAATTTTGCATCATTGATTTTAACTAAAGAGGAACAATAATTATTAGCTTCTATATGACTTGTATCATTGTATAGACTTTGATAGTAAGGTGAAATCCATATGAATAGAAAGTTTCACTTTTGCCATGTAGTACAGTGTAGATGTATTCACATCATAGACCACTTTCATAAATGGCTGCCGGATTAATATTCTTTTGTTTAAATTTAAATTCTGGCCTCGTTCTCCAGTACAAATTTCAAAAGAATACATTATCTCAAGCGAGGCCAGAAGGGCTAATTTCAATTTAAACAAAAGAACATTAATCCAGCAACCATTTATGAAAGTGGTCTGTACTACATGTACATGTATATGTATGGATTGTTTCCTTTGATCTGACTATATATATAATTTTTTATATAACAGTGCTTGATACATAAAAGTAGAGTGCAATATATGTTGAGTAGAAAAATATGACGACTACGTTTTTATCCCTACCAGCCTGTTTTATGATTGCTCACTCATCAGGGGATATATATAGATATATATAATCATAAATTCTGTATATGAGGGAAACCCTGACCCTGTACACCCCAATATATATACCCCGATATATAATATTGGGGTATATATATTCTATTTGACTTGTATCATTGTATAGACCTTGATAGTATATATATATATATATTTATATTATATATATTTGATAGTATATATAGACAGTATGATAGTATATTTGAGAGTATATATATTTGATAGAATATATATACCCAATATATACACCCTGATATATATAATTATATATATATATATTTTTTTTTTCCCTACAAGGGAGTTTTCCATCAGTGATTTTTCCAAGTGATAGCAGTACATTGCCCTCTGCAGGTCCCTCACAGCCATCTGTCACCACAGTCACAGGAACAACATCAACTTTGACTGACTCAGTGTTTCTATCAAGGTCTGGATCATCACGTAAGAACTTTGCCCAATGAAGGAAAAAATGTCTCTTATCTCACCTTTTTGTTGACTGTTTGGGTTAATGGTTAGTGTGGTGAACTGATAAGTTTGACAGGATAGATTTCTCCAAACTACATTAATGATCTTTTTCTTGAATAAGCGGCTAGAATCTCTTTGCATAGCAAGGAAGTGCACCGTATCAGTGACACTGAATGACGATGAATGAACCTTACTCGTGTGTACCGTGTGTGCATTCGTTAGGTCCCCATTTTGTCATGGCAGCCACTTCTGATACAGGTGCTGTTTCATCAAGTGGTAGAGCACCACAAGGAAGGCTGGCTGGCTCATTAAAAACAACCACAGTAACATCTACGACAGGTTAGGCATTACAAACATTGTAGGAATGTCTTTTAAGTTTTCCCTTGTTTTAGTGTACTCAATCTTTCCCGCCATCCTAAGCGATATTTATTTCTTGATAAGTTTCTCTCATTAGTCCTTCATCTTTTCCTAAACTGTCACTGGTATCTTGAGTTAGTAGTCATACCATTGCTGTTGGTTTATTGTGAACTTCAAGTTCGACCCGCGTTGCCCCTTGATTTAGAGGTTTGTTCATTCAGATAAACAACAAAAGACAGCGTCTGTGGAATATTTTTTCCAGATTCATCAATGCCATTGTCGTCGTCACTGCCATCCACAAGTCACAGACCTGATGGTGCTTTAAGAGAACGGGTTTCACGGCCAGAACAAACTGACCAATCAGCGGATCGATTGAGTAGTCTGAGGAGAATGCAGGTATATTAAAAATCTTTTACTTGCTCTTATAAAAAATGTCTATCATAAAACTGGTCCCGGTTGTTCGAAGGTTGGATAGCGCTATCCCCTGAATTAATCCGTGGCTCTATCCGGTGGATAACGCTATACGTTTTGCTATCACTTCTCCATCGGTTAGCGATTTATCCGTTGGATAGCGTTAACCCTAACCCTTTGTACAACTGGGCCCTGATCCTTCTCTGCCGTTAGGATGAAGGACATTTCGTTGGTGGTTGATTAGAATAAAAAAAGGAGTTACAGGGTCATAATTCCTATGAACAAGTTTGCCTGAGTAAAGCCCTGAGCATCAGCGATAATCAACGAGGTGACACGAATTTTTAAACTTGTCTCAGCTCATAGTGAAACAAGTGCAAGTAACATTCAATCCTAAACGGGAACGCGTTCTATTATAGACCTGGAAAATCTCAAGGAAGAGGTCTGAGTTCGTTTACTTTCTATTGATATAATCAACTTTCCAGTCTGAACTTGTAATGCCTGATAGAAATAGAAAGAATGGCTTGTAAGTTTAAAACAAGAGGTCACAAGCTGGGTGAGAAAAGCATCTGACTCCTGACTGGACGCATAACCCTCCTCAAACCGGTGGTGTGCTTTACTGAAGAAACATAGAGAATAGGAGGTCAGCACATTTAGACCGTAGAGTGAGAATCGCAAGTAGTAAGTGTCCTGCATACTGCTAGGATCAGCCGTGTCATACAAAATGTTCGTATTACATGTATGTTCTCTCCATTGTGCAGCCATTTGCGTCTTCTCTCCCCGCCAGACTGCAGGAAGGATCCATAGGTTCTGAGCATGCAGCACTTCGATCAACAGCTGCAGACCTTTTACAAAAATACAGCGCACCGGAAGAAGAAAGTGGCGAAAGTGACAGTGAGAGGGAAGCAGACGACGAGGAGCTCGCTCAGAACAGTGATAGCGCTGTTGGTAAGCTGGCTGAATTGCTCAAACATATATTAAACGAAAATGGAGATTTGAAGAATCTGAATCGTATTACGACTACGATTACGAGATTTGACATCACACATCTGATGAGAGAATACATAACTCGAGAATTTTGATTTCACGCTACGTGATGGCTAACGTGATGTGTTACTATGACGTTCTCATCGTAATTTACCCACAATTAACGGTAAAAATAACTTTTTTAATCAGATTACGGAAGAATTGAGCCTCCTATTGCAAAACCGATAACGAGAGATTTCTCAACTTCTCGATCGAGTGGTAGCACAGGCAGGACAACCACAAGGCCAAGAATGCCCCGCAGCTATAAAGGTGAAGTCGAGATGTATCGTGGAAGACTGCACTCCTGTCAATTTGCTAACAGTTTCCAGGTTTTCCATGATTTCTTTAGCATGTAATTGTTAAAATAAATGCTACCTTGAAGGGGATGCCAGTCTCATGCAGGCTACCTCTAGCCCAGCCCCACCTTAGTACTCATCCCAGAACACCCAAGTATCCCGCTTGCCCAAGATCGCAATGATCCCGCCCAGATCTCCGACAGACAAGCACCACTCAATTGGGATCCATCCACATGAACACTAAGGTCACCACTTCAGCAAGACGTTCCTTTTTTGACAATAGAATTTAGTTACCGTTTTTGGTTTGTTTTGTTCTTTGGTGGTAATATTTTTTTCTTTTCAGGATGCAAAGTCTTCGAAATTTTTCTTTGCTGTTTTCTTCAAAATTAACAACCTCAATTTTTCCTTACGGCACTTGAGAAAGTTATTTCTCTTTGATCGGCAGGGATTAGACAACTGTCCTGAATACTATTGTTTTTTAACCAGAATCAACCGAAGAAGATTCTTCTCCTGAACGTGTTCCCCGCCGCGGCGTGACTTTCCGTGACACAGTAGAAACATTTCCAGTTTCAGGAAGAATGGATAGGCTAAGGCGCCTGCTGTACGAGGAGTCCGAGAAGCAGCGGAAACGACACACGGAAGCCATGCGCAAGACTTATCGTGATCAGTTGAAGGAAATACAACAGGAAAAAAAGAAAGAGAAAACTTTGCAGATGAAAAGAAAATTACCAGTGAGTTTCACTATCAATTTTTTTCAGTAAGGTGCCTATCGTACTCTTATTTCTGGCCAGCAAAGGGTACATTGCTCAAGGCGTATTTGAGGATTTCAGAAAACTGAATGAATTGCCTCAGAAATAACTGACATTTCAGTTTTATTGATAAATATCTTCATGATATGTTATGTAGTCATGAACACAAAAAGTGTCCATTGCCACATACGTCTCCCTTCAGAAGAGTGTCATGAACAGTTTTCACTACCCCTCACCCGTTTGTAATAACATTGCATTAAAGAGCCACACTTCGGTCGTTAAGTTGCCTTGCTTGGAAAGAAAAGGAAAAGACTGCAAATGCACCTGCGGCTGGTAATCGTTTTCTGTATTAAAAGCGGCAAAAAATGGAGACATTGCTCTATGTCGATTTCAACTAATACTTCGTCAGAAGAAGGTTAGTGAAATTCTCTAAATTCTCTTCCGGCTTGATTAACTTTCAGGTCTCACCAAACGTTCCAAAGAAGAAACCAAAAAACAAGTCTCCAGTCAAGAAATGTGGGAGATTGGAGGCTGTCTATCGCTCACAGACAAGAAAATCCCGGCCAGTGAGAAGGACTTTGACAACCGGAAAAGGAAGAAAGAGAAGTGCCTCCGCGAGTCCTGTACTCGTTGGGAGAAAGAGCGACAGTCCAGGTTGGATATTGCGTCATTCCAACGACAAATGTTTTTGAGACTAACTCATGGAATACCTTCACCATTTCCCAATTTCGCGATTTAATCATATTCTGTATATACCAGGGATTTTGAATAGGGATCGGGAAATTTTGTTATCCGCTAATTAGACGTCCTGCCGAAGTTGAATAAAAAAGTTGTCTCGTAGTAATTAAGTTGGAGTTGCTTGTTTGCTCGAAGTCTGCATTAAGTAACCTTGTTCGGGGAGAAAGAAAATCATTGAATGTAAAGTCGACCTTGTTTGAAGGAGTAATTTCTCCTTTACAATGAATCGCAATGAAATCGCCGCACGATTTGACATCACAACCATATAACCTGTTAGAACAGGTCTGTTAAGTTGCTTCGACACCATTCTCAGAGCTGTTACAGCTTTTGGAGATGTTCTTCTGGGGAGGGTTAGGGAAAGTAGCTGAGGTCTTTCGTTGATTTTTCAAGATGAAACCTTGAAATATTGGTTGATAAGAGAAGAAACATCAAGGAGACAATAACTAAGGTTGGCGAAGATTGAAAATGAGGAACTAATTGGAAATTTTTGCGGCGTTTTTCCCCAGATCATCCGGACATGTTACTTCCCGCCATGTTGGAAGAGTTCCCTTTCTTGCATGTCTCGCCTCAAACAGCTCACAGCATGTGGAACAAGCAGGCGCGGCACCTTAGCTCCTTTCTTAAATCTGGTGCGGACGCCAATAGGACCAAAACTCAGAGAATGATTGAAGATGCTGAGAAGCGACAGAAGACTTTGGTGGGAATATTAAAAAAAGATTTGGAACATAATATGAGAATGGTAAAGTTATCATTTGTAAATACAAATTTTGACAAACTAAATGATTTCTTTCTCAACTGAGAAACTTATATTATTGCTCTCATTCGTTTGAAAAGACCACACTATTGATACGATCGCCGCCCATTTAGTATGCGTTTCGTGTTCTTTTACCTTATTTTGTCCTTTAATGTTATTTTCAGCGAGATAAACAAGAGCGGCAGCAACAGCAGCGGACTGTTAAGGCAAAACTGAGAGAAAAACGCCAAGTCTCTGCGCATGCGCGGCGATACTATGATGAGTATGAGTTGCGCATGCGGGCCAGAATGTTGAAAAGGCGCACGCGTGAAGAACAGGTAGGAAGTGAATAAACATCGTGAGAGCCCGTGCTCAAAAAGGGTATTTTTTATTGTGTGTAACTCTTTGGAGGCATTAAATAGCTTTGATACGTTGTCATCGTTTTGAGTATTTCTTGTGAAATTTCTTGTCTTGCCTTAGATCTTCAAAAGGTTGTTTGAGGATGGTTTGGATATTCAAAAACAACGCATACGCGAACTCAGAGAGTATGCGAAAGAGCAGAGAGAAACTTTGGCTCAGAGGCAGCAAAACGAAATTGAATCACTGGAAAACTTGTATCCTTTTATTTACTCCACTCTCCAATTTCCAATTTCCAACTCTCCAATTTCCAATCTCTCCAGATTTCCAATGTAGTAGCTTCGTTTTTACTCAGGAGTAACTTTACAGAGTGACCAGAGTATTTGATGAGCATGTAAGAACTAAGCTTGTCAAAGCAAACAAGTGTTTACACGTTCTACGAACATCGAGAAAGGAACATTACTCTCAGGCAGAGATAGATCACCTTTTTATATCCATTGTTTTGCCTAATTTTAGTTATGCGCTTTCAGTCTATTTGGCATCTGAGTCCGATCTCACTGTTGTAAAAAATTTTTCTGGACCGATGCCATAAACGCCTTTTTATTTCATTTCCAGTTTTTGTCAAGAACCTTTTTAAACAAACAAGACCGAAACATTTTGAAGAAATTAAAATCAACGGATTGCCACCCCATGAAAGAGATCATTCCTGTCCAGAAGACCTATGTACACAATCTTAGGAAAAAAGGCTGCGCACGCCTGAAAATTAACACACAGCGCTTGATGAACACCTTTGTAAATTAATAGGTTGATTTTTAAGCTCCATTTATTGTAATGACATACTTTTTAAGGTGGCTCGTACCAGTTTCCTTGCGCGGGGAACAAGTCACTCTTGCGTGACGCGCGCGAGAGAAACCTGCGAAAGAAGCGCGAGATCAAAAGATGAAAATTCAAAACAAAGGTGGCGGCGCGTGGAATTTTTTCTACTTTTGTGAGAAGTTTACCTAAGAGCTTGTATTTGATGTGTTGAGCGGCCACTGTGAATGCAGGAGATAGAAACTAAGATAACGAAGACGATTTTCGGAGAAGTAAAGGTTGCTTCACTTCACATTTAAAAGAAATATTCAACCGATATGAAATCTTGCGACGGCGAAAAAAGAAGAACTCAAGTGAAGGATAATCTACCTGAAGTGGAAGAAGACTTTGAAACTTCAAGGAAAATAATATGATATAGCCAGAAGTCATGTGTAGGATTTTTAAGATGAGCTCGGGAGGCTGTCTTTGACGGCTGTTTAATGATTTTCTTAGCAGTAAACGTCTGTAAACATCAGATCGTAGGTGCTCGCGCGAGCACACGCAATTGTCAGCGGTAGCTAAAACAGATCATGAGCAAATGTCGATCTTATAGAATCCAGATTTTTAAATGCGCGAGAACGCGCGTGGAAATTGCTAAACTCACGAAAGCTATTGCATGAAAACAAGTCCGGTGACCCCTTCTTTTTATTGTTCCAATATGATAATAACGTCGAAAGGAATCATCAGAAAAAAAACTAGAAAATTCTACGGAAGGAAATTTGCGATGTGTGAAAATTGCC